CAGTATTTGGCCACTCCCACTGCCATGATGATTGACACTGAATTTCTGCACATTGGACCTGCTTTGCATACAAAGCGAGTCGTTGACCACCAAATTGGGGTGGGTTCCCTCTTCAACTGAAAACAAGAAACTGTTATCTTTAGCTGGGGATGGTCATCTGGTGATCGCGCTATCATTCAAGTCGAAAACAGTTGCAGTTAAGTCCTCATGGCACGTACGTAGACAAAAGATAGCAAACAAACAATCTGGTACCGGCCTCACATCAATACTAGCTTCGCTCTACGGGTATCGGCTTGAAGGATCGGCAACTCTCACTGGTACGGGCTTGCGGGACCAGAAACGCAAACTGGTACCAGTACCGGCACAGGGTCTCGGCGCTCCCGATGCAGACCTGGATATGACCAGAATGATGGTGATATCCATGGATATGGCAAGAATGACGGCCATAGCTATGAATATGATGAGTTGGTGATGGATATGACCGGACCAGAATATATCCTGGCGAGGGCAAATACCGACATCATCACCCCAGACGCTACTGCCGTACCACTGGTACTGACTCAGTACTGGCGACTGGTATCGTAAAACCCACATCTTGCATCTTTATATAGGCGTGGGTCGCCTACATCCCACCAAGCAGATAAGCATATGATTGCAGTAATATGCAGGGCACGTGCAATCGGCAATGCATATCATCTATTTCCCAAAGTCTTTTCACAGAAAACGCATCACGTGCACTTTTCTTTAGTCGGCACATATCGGACCATGCTATCCTGCATAGAGCTGTCACTTTGCGCCTCGGACCACCTTCCATAGACGATAAACGAGGCCTTGTTTCCAGTGATCACATCAGACCGTCTCACTAACATATTTCTTATAAATTACACCCAATTTTAAGCTGCTCCTAAAGCTGCAGTAACACATCGGCTTGAAATGAGATCTTCTTCCGTAAAACAATCTTTCATGGGTCGAATTTTCTCAACTAACTAATTGAGCCCTTGACATCGGGAGCGCCGATTTAAGTGGCCACAACCTGGAGAGAAATTATCTTTTGGGGGAAGGTTGGGTCAATTAACTACATTGCCGCAGCCCCCTACCGATATTTAACAAGTGATATCCGTAGTGCTGGTGGTTGGTAGTACTTGCTAATGAACACATACAATAAGCGATAAATGAAAGAGGCCAGCCCCAATAATTGTTACATAAAGATCGCTAACATCAAGGCCCAAGTTATGAAGCACATCACACAAAAAGCATTACAAAGAGTCCGGTTATGAAACGTGCAGAACGTCCCGGTTTTCTGACCTGCCGGTCGACATACGTCAGTTGGCTGGCTCTCAAAGTGATGCCAGGGGTGCCGGCACATCTATGAGGAAGGACATTACGCTGCCTGTCCCATGCCTGGACAGTGCATCAGAGTGGCTGGCGGTCGCTTATGTCACGGGCAGACCACGATGACAGCGGCAGTGCCAACGATGTGACGTGCGAGCCCGTGTTAGTGTGGTATGGAAAAGCTAAGACCTAGTGTATGAGCGCGCTGGATGTGATGTGTAGTCAAAGGGAAGCGATAGCCGTTGTGCGAAGTCCCGGCAATTTACCATGGACGAGTCTTTCGCTGATCGTTTAGTGATTTTTGGACATCGTCCATGCACAGAGGACACGCCGTCTCCCCCATCTAATCTCATCTCACGCTGTCAGGTCTTTTATAGAAGAGACTACGTGTTTCAATGCTCAGCACGCAAATTCTTTCCATGATATTTGAAGTCGATTAACGACGGCTCATCGATTGCAGCGCCCTTGTACACCTGCATGTTTAGGATGACTTGAGTGAACATTTCAACTTAAGGTATGACTTATTTGGCGACGAACGAGCCATGTTGGACCTCAATTTAGGTACCTTCTGATATTTTCCTTCCTTCGTCCCACTTTTTCTCACGACGTCACCTGTGTGCTACGCGCTTAAAAAGGCCGGCGTGAAGAGACCATATATTACGGCATTCAAGTCATTGACCAGCGAGCCAGGTGGCTAAAGCGTCAGCGTTTCCTCGGAGAAAGGACCATCACACTCCCGGGCGGGTAGAGCGGTTGCTGTGTCACCGATGCCATCATACGCAATTTTCCCCATTTGCTACATGTAAGCCGAGTGTGTGGTTTGCAGGTGATACACAGTTTCTTGAATTAACTGCGGAATCGCCATTCGCCAGCGGCTGGACGCAATCCCAGAAAAATGCAGAACAGATGAAACATTTACGACTTGCCGTCGGTTCAATTTACAAAACAATAATTATCGTTTCATACGAGATGAAATGAAACTTTCAGCACATCAACTGATATCTATATATATATATATATATATATATATATATATATATATATATATATATATATATATATGTGCGTGCGTGCGTGCGTGCGTGCGTGCGTGCGTGCGTGCGTGCGTGCGTGCGTGCGTGCGTGCGTGCGTGCGTGCGTGCGTGCGTGCGTGTCGTGCGTGCGTGCGTGCGTGCGTGTGTGTGTGCTGTGGTGTGTGTGTGTGGTGTGTGTGTGTGTGTGTGTGTGTGTGTGTGTGTGTGTGTGTGTGTGTGTGTGTGTGTGTGTTTATTGCCAGCCAGTTGACGCAATTCAATGTCTCAGCCCTTGCGTGCTATTACAATTACAGTCATCCGAACATATGTCTTAGGAAACTGGCAGAAGACATTTTAAGCCTAATCCTAGAACGTCAAACATGGAGAGGCGGCAACACGAGAATGACTACAGTTGTCCACCGGCAATCCCATCATCAACAACGCGTGACCCTTCGTTCAGCAATTGTCACTTTAATGAAATAAATCAGCAAATCAAACAAATCAGCAGAATTACACTTTATCAGGTCATCCCACATTACTTGGGTGTTCCTTAGACCTTCGTCGACAGGTACACACGTAGTCACAGCGCAAAAAAGGGTAAACACGACACAAAGAGACATGAAAGAAGCTAATTTCAGATACTTCGAATAACGTTATGAACACGGGCCTCGAAACTAGATGTGCGGTTGTGTTTCTGTGGTGCGATAAAGGTCCGTTGGAAAATGAAGGGCCACGCGTTGTTGTTGACTGGATTGCCGGCGGACAACTGTGGCTATTCCTGCGCTGCCACTGTCCAGGTTTGAAGTTCTAGGGTTATGCGAAGGTGAAACCCCCCTCGATGATTCGGTGACAATGCGACAACGACCGCACCGTGAAAACTTACTTCAGCAAGCGAGTTCGCGGTTTTCATTAAAGCACGCCAACTTCTTTCCCTAAGTCTCAAACAAATACAATTTTGCAGAAATATCCTAGTTCGAAAATAGGAACACCTCGAGAATCTGGCCTCCACCTTTTTCAACCATGACCTGCGTTCCTGATTCAGACTGCATTCTCGTCTCAGGCCTTGATCACACAGGATTCAAATGTACCTCCGACGCGGCCTGCACGGCACGTCCGGATTCGTATTTTACATTTAAATTAGTCTGGAGATGAACTCACTTAAAATTAATATGAGGACAATTCAAGACAGGACAGCGCGACCTAGATCGCTACTTCATTAACATCGATGCTCGCATCCTTTTGTATTTGACATAATACTCTGTCCGCGCGCCAACTAGCCGTGTAGCATGTTCTGTTGTGGCCTCTTGTTCTGCGTGTTTGTGGCGCAAACCGCACCCTGTGCACCTCTTGAGGCTATACCCGAGGCAAAACCTTTGTACATTCTGCGCTAAAATCGCACCTCAATCTGTAAAGATGTGCCTATTAATTTATGACTTGGTACGCCTTTGGAACTGTTATTTCCACTACATGCACAACGGATACTCAGCCGGAGTGAGATTGTCTGAGCGCAACTTACGGCATCTCTTTCCCCGCCTCTCGTGGTGCCAGCCACATCTTGGAGTAGAAAGTCCCCATCCCACCTTCGACGGGGCCTGGGCACGCGATGGTCATCATCGTCGACGACTTTCCCCATATGATTGCCCACTTGACTTTTGTCGGGCCCTCAGCGATCCAAACGACCAAAAGTGGCGCAACGGCTCACGGGATGAGGAGCACTGCTGTGCACCGAACCAGACCACAGCCCCGGCGCGAGTACCGTGGCGGTGTGCCAGGACCACAGCCCCGGCGCGAGTACCGTGGCGGTGTGCCAGGACCAGAGCCCCGGCGTGAGTACCGTGGCGGTGTGCCAGGACCAGAGCACCGGCGCGAGTACCGTGGTGGTGTGCCAGGACCAGAACACCGGCGCGAGTACCGTGGCGGTGTGCCAGGACCAGAACGCCGGCGCGAGTACGGTGGCGGTGTACCAGGACCAGAGCGTTGTCGTGAGTACCGTGGCGGTGTGCCAGGACCAGAGCCCCGGCGGAGTACCGTGGCGGTGTGCCAGGACCAGAGCACCGGCGCGAGTACCGTGGCGGTGTGTCAAGACCAGAGGACCGGCGTGAGTACCGCGGCGGTGTGCCAGGACCAGAGCACCACCGTGAGAACCGTGCACGTGCCGACCAGGCTGGGAGCCGGGGGCAGCTGCCGCATCTCTCCAATTTTGACCCCATTCTACAGTAGTCCAATGAAGTTGCTTTGACATGAACAGATGAAGCGCGTCTTTCCTTCCTTTACTTAAGACGGTTTCAGGGGTCCGTATAGCCATTGGACCTTTTAGTGGTTCTATGCAGGCTGTCGTCTTCTCTTCAGCGTCCCGCCAGCCGTCGACAGGTGCTGCGTAGCCAGTCAAAATTGCATCAATTCCGGCCACATCACCGCCTTCCCACAACTGGCCGACAAACTTTGATTGAATCCTTTGACGCTGATGACACGAATACCGTCTTATTGAGTTATGACGTTGTCGCAAACTGGGAAAACTCCGCCGTAATTGGTTTATTGTCGGCGCTCGGGACAGCCGGGACAGACGGACGGACCGCGGGGTGAGCCAATAGAGACCGAGCTCTCCTCCCCCCCCCCCCCCCCCTCCACGCCTCGGGCACGGGAAACTCACCAGAGTCGGGCAGCGACGGACCCTCTGTCGGAGCCTGCAATACAGACAACTGGTCAGCGGCGACCCCGGCCGCGCGGCGGGTCAGAGGCAGGCAGCGTTTGCACGGCGCCGTGTACGGCTGAGCACCGGCGCATTTCTACCGCGGCGACAACTGGCTGCCGTATCAGGAAGGCGCGACGATTAACGGGCTGGACGGTGTCGAGCGGCAACAGCGAGTCAAGCACAACGTCCGCATCTGGCGAACTTCTGCTGCAGCACGACCCGGTCTGCCAGATGGGGACTAAAACCCATCAAAATCAACACCATCAAATTCATGATCGAGTGCACCGAACCACTAAAATTTATACCGTAACTTACGAAAAGCTTACGACGGCCCTCAGATGCGCGATTGTGCACGCAACTTTTGCAATATTACCGAGCTGCAACACGTTGAAGAAATTCAAGAACAGGGGTATCAGCTTAAACACCAGGCTGGCCTTCGCCACCCACGCCTCAAACATTGCCAACCGGGCACAGCGCTCCCTCGCGTCGTTGGTTCGCCACTTTCAAACCGGCTTGGAATGCTCTAAATTGAATCACGGTGCTCTGCTATCGGCTTACCGCTCCCGTGGTCTCCATTTTGAAGTGTTGCAGTGTGATGTGCGGCAGGAAAAGAGCGGCCGATTCCCACACGACCCGGGCAGATCGAGTGCAGCACATATCTCTAATCTGGCTTCCAACTCATACTTCTCTTGGGTAAGCCCAGCCTCGTTCGCATCAAGATCTCTTAAGCCACTTTGAAACTCCCTCTTTAGCTTCACAGAAAGTGCAGCAGGACCTTTTTATAGCTTTACGAAGAGCCTGAGCCGGGGCATGATGGCATAATTGTTCGGACCACCGTCCTCGACCGTGTGCTAATGTGCCCTCATCATTATTGAGTCCTGAGAATAACTGACTTGTGCTTGGCTGTCAGCCATGTAAACGTCATGATCCGATTTTTCTCCTTGGCGATTCTTGACGATTCTTACCTGGATTTTTTCATTACGAGTCTAACACCCTACCACTGAGCTAGTCGGAAAGGACTGATCGATTTCCTGAGTCATTGCCACATTAGTTGCACAAGAACAGGCGTGCTTTGTAAAGGGCGGAAATATTGCGTATAATCTCAGGCTCGCTGTGAACCTAGGACACGATTGGAACGATCGCTCTTTGCCATGCATTCTAAAGTATTTTTATTTCGCTGTTACCTTTGACTCGACTGCAGGTTGCTTTCTTGTCGGAGTTCCAGAACAATGTAATGTTGGGACCTCGTCCAAACACTAGACCAAACACGCCTACGATGAGCAGATGCGCTCGCCATCGAACATCGAGCCTAGCGACTCCTGATACTAACACGTTCTGAAAACACAATGCCATCATCTACGTGATTGCAAGCGCAAAGGATTGTACTGCAAGCGACGTGCTTGACATCATTTCACAAAGTGGCGCGAATTTCACAGAGCCATGCATCTAGCAAATCATATTATTCTTGACCTGAACCCAAGGTGTTGCGGCAGTTCTGCAGCAGAGCGCTGGAGGCCCACTACACCTCAGGCGCTGCCGCCATTTCGACTGGCGGCGGCGCGCGCCGAGACGCATTGCACATATTCGCAAATCACGGCCGCTTTGATTAAACTCACGCCTGCACGCGCGGCTGCAGCTGGCTGAAGCCGCTCGCGCGGAAGAGATCTACGATCGGAGCGCGGCGCGATCGGTTCGACGCCGGCCGGCCCGCGTCGCAGGAATGCCGAACTGGATTGGCCGGCGCCTCTCGCGGCAGCCCGGACCGCCGATGCTCGGGAAGGGAATGCAGGTCCGACTGCGGCCAGCCACATAGCTGGAGGCGGTCAGGTCGCAGGCCACGCGGTCGGCACGGAGGGCGCGGCCCCGATGCAAAATGGGAAGGTAACCGGGGCACAGCATCGGTCTGACAGCCAGCTGGTGGCGGCTGATCGAGCAGGCCCCGTAGCGGGCTCATTACGTGAGAAGGGGAGCTTTTTGTCGTAGGGTTTCGCAACCAGTAAGCTCCTAAAAAGGCCCCTCGTATTTGTCTACCAGGCATTATCTATTAGCCAACATAGACGGCAAACGAACCATCAGTAAGCACAATACATTAAAGGTAACTACACATGCTATTTAAGCCTCTATCTTAAATGGGACCGAAAGCAGCTTCGCATTCACACATATTACACGCATACGTGTATGATTTTGATCCTCTTTCTACAATGGGAGCCGAAAGCAGCTTCCAGAAAGGTTACTGTTGGCGACGCCCTTTTCACGCGGCTCAAGCCCCCACGTCATCTGCTGCTTTCTACTAGCCAATAGCCCATAGCCCATACAAAAGAGCATAGCCCAACAAGCCCATAACCAAAGATCCTATAAACAACTAGGGGGCTCGTACACGCATTTGTACCACGCTTCCTGCATGCCATCCTACGGGGTTAATGCTACATTTGGCCAATGCTGACATAGAACTTGACAACATTCCTCGTACAGCCATGTGCAGCATATCACCGCCCATCTCATGATACGCAGAAGTTATACGTGTTGCCACCAGTTACTATGGTTCTCACCCTCCAAGTTACGTTCCAGCTCGGCCCCTGCTGATCATCAAAAGCGTCATACTGTCGACTCGTCATCTGCCCGAGGGTCAACACCAACAGTCACGGACGGCGCACCATCCGTCGAGCACCATCGCCAGCGTCCGTCTGCGGCACCAGCGCGGCACCAGCGTGGCTCCCGCGTGCGTCCCGCGGCTCTGCCGCACGCGTGAGCTCGCGCGGCTCTGACGAGCGCGCAAGCTTCCGCGGCTCTACCGCACGCGTAAGCTCCAGTGGCTCTGCCGAACGCGTGAGCTCGCGCGGTTCTGCTGACCGGCGGTGGACGACACGCCAGCGTCATCTCCGCTCGACAACCGCATGGCAGCGTGTCACAACAGCGCTTGGCGGCGGCCGTAAACAGGAGGTGGCCGCCGGCGCCGCCGCTGAGCGTCTCCAGCCGTCGTCGGCGGCTTCCGCAGGACGCTCAGTGGGGCCGACGATCCCTGCCTCCCCTCCCCTCCTCGTCCGCCGGAACGGAGGGGCGGCGCGACATGCGGAAGGTGCACGGCCGGAGAGGGGGTGCCGGTGATTTCTTATCTGCCCACCTGGCCGTCGACGTCTCCGGTTCCCCGCAGCGGAGGCGCCGCACGAGCCGACGCGTCGGCCTCGACGCGAGGGGAGGGAGGGGAGGGGCGCCTCCGGGGCAAGGCGGGGATGGCCGGACGGCGGGGGCGCCGCTGCAGGCGAGGTAGGAGAAGACACGACGGATCAGAGAACTTCATGGAAAAGCAGCAAAGTTCTCTTGTAACACACTTGAGAAAACGGTAGAAGCAGAACAGGCTTGTACGCAAGCACATCACAGGGCTGCGCGTACAACCAATTTCTCAACAATACAACTATCAGAAAAAAGACCTGAAAGAAGGCCGCCGATAGACACAACCAAACTTCTCTTTTCAGGCATATTTTGAGTTGAGTTCTCATAAGTACTATCGAATCTTTTCGTTGTTGATTGGGGTTTTAGGGCACGCCGACTACTAACGCCATTTCGCGCCCATAAGTACTATCAATCAAAACTTTAAGATAAATAGAGAGGAAGTCCCCAGAGGAGAATGATCTTTCGATCACAGATGGTCAATGTCCTTCATTCAACCATTCATTTCATCCATTGATTCATCCAGGTAAATCGCATGCCTTCATCGGAAACAAACACCTCAAAGTTTGCTTCTAAGCCGCGCACAACGGGCCATGACCAGCATCTACGAAGTAACCAGACATAAGCTATCAGAGCGTCGCATCTTCCTCTAGGGATCAGCCTACATTGCACATAAATTCGCAGCCCGACGGTTCTCGGCTGCTAAGGCGCCAGCACGACGACACCCCGCTGTGCTCCCGTCGCGGCGACCCCGCCGTTGACCCCACGCCGCGTGCCGCCATTGAGCCCGCGCCGCATGCACGCCTGCTGCGTCTCCAGCGCGGCGTGTCCCATAGAACGGCTGAGGAGCGGCCAGACTACTGCGCCGCCGCGCGCCGCCGGATGCGCCAGCGGCGCGCGCGTCGGACGGGGTGCGGGGAGCCCGGGGCCCCCGTCTGCCGCCCCCGGCGCGTCGCCGCCGACGCGGCACTCTGGCAGACCTCCAGGTCGGCGTCAGCTGCCGTCGACCGCGTCGCCGTCCGATCGCGGTTTTTGCGGCCACCGCCGGGGGGCGCACGCGCCGTACCTGCGCCGGTTGGTCCCCCGGCCGGCGGTGCGGGAGGCGGCCATCTTCCCGGCCGGGGGGCGTCCCCCCCCCCAGCCGGGCGGCGGCACGCGCCGTCGGCCACCGCCGCAGACGGTCGACAGGTGCCGCCGCCCAGGGGAGCGAGAGAGGGGTGGCAGCTGGAGGCGCCCGGCGTGCGTCGGCACCCTCTCCGGCCGCGCCGTTTAAAGTTTAAATGCCCCGTCCGAGGCACGTCGGCAGATGCGCGATGGCCAGAAAAACCGGCGCCTGCGTGTTATGACTTGCGGGATGAGTTCCGATGGGCGCGGCTGCCGGTCGGTGAGGCGCCTCGGCCACGGTCTGGCTGGCGTCACGGAGCTCCCGTGCCAAAGAAGCGCCGCTCACAGACGCTTCATCGATCATCCCAGCTCACCACAACAATTTCATCAGCCTTCAACAATATATTCCCGTGACGTTGAGCCAGCGTTTTGTTCAGGCGCTGGCCTGCCCGCGTTCTACCACGGCCCCGCGCCCTCGCCTCGCTGCCGCGAGCGGGCGCGCCGTGAGCGCCGGCCAGGTCGCCCGCTGCCGGTGATCTATGCCGCGTCAGGGGCGTTGGAAACCGCAGCCGGGCCACCGGCGAACCATACACGCCGGACGTGACCCGTTCATTGAATGCGGGTAACCGGACGACCGCGGCCGGGGCCGGGGCAGGGTCGGGGCGGAGCCGGGGCCTGCACCGGAGTTGGCGCACTCCGCAGAGGTGCCACGGGCGACCC